TGGAACCGCTGGCCGGATTGCCAAAATTCTTTCACTGATAGATAGCAATAAAAATAGAAAGAGATAGAAAAAAAACATCACGCTACGATCAAATGGAGCTGAGCAGCGGGTGGAACCGCGCGAGACTAGCTAGTACTTTATAATATTATAAAGCTAGAAAGTTTGTTTGTTTGAACGCGCTAATCTCCAGAACTGCTGGTTCGAATTGAATAATTATTTTTGTGTTTGTTAGTACATTTATCGAGCAAGGCGGCTTAGGCTTTAAAACATCACGCTACTATTTGTAAGTGCCGAGCAACGAGTGAAACAATGGTTAAATATCTATCCTAATGCTTAGTTTAGCTCGTCAAATTTTGCAGATCAGATAGGATTTTGAAAACTAATGATTTAATAGTTGGTTTTCGTTTTTCATTTTAATGGGTATTTTCATACTAAAACTAAAGCGTACTAAAAAAAGAGACATATAGAAATAACATAGTGATTCCAAACTGACTTCAAATTTACAAGTGCCTATAAAGTTGGTGTAGACAAGTCTCATTAGCAGTGCAATTAATGAATTTCGACGAGATGAGAGTAACAGACAGGTTGCAGTAATTATATTGCAATTTACGACGTCTTGTAGTTGAGGGCTTTTAACAGCATCCGGTTAGAATGATCTACATGCTCGTAATTATGAAATAGTATAATAATGTTGTACAGAGTTTATTCGTATTTGATGATGCAATAATAAAGGAAGGATGCAGCATATTTTGTTCGATGTTCTTTTCTTTATTTTTAAATACGTAATTGTGAATTTTTGTTTTGGTTTTTATTAATATTTTTTTATCGAAAACTTGCCCAACGCTATGATTTTCTCCTGTGTCGTGGGTGCGTGGGTGTTTGTAGATCACACAAAGAGTTGTTCCGTGCGGGAAGCCATCGCATCAACCGATTATAACTGTAACAGAAAACTGTTATTTGTACAATCAAAAGTACGTATAGTAAACAAATTGTTTAGTTTGTAAGTACATTTTGATTAATTACTGAGAGGGTACAAACATTTTACCATTTTACCTTTTACCTCTGATTACGATGAAAGTTTTTATACCAAGCAATTATTTTTTTAAGTACACATAATTTATAATTATTGGCTTAATGAGGAAATTATAAGGTATTCCTCGATCATAATACGTTTATGACACGTTTAACTTGATGTAACTCTTATTGCTATTAAAATAAAGTTTATTATTGTTATAGCGTAAATTATCTAAATTTACTATAAGGTACTGATGTCAAATTAGTTATTATCTCGATGCCTTATTACAAAACAAGATCTATCTTTAGTCTAGGTTTAAACCTCAGAATACAGAACAAACGTTTAAACCTGTATTCTGAGGATTAAACCATTGAGCCAGGGTTTTGTATTTTGAATCTTATTCTCACTTACCTTCGATTTGTTTTTTTTTAATAGGTCAGCAAACGAGCAGACGGATTACCTGATGGTAAGCAATCAGCGCCGCCCATGGACACTCGCAACGGAGGAGTTACGAGTACTTACGAGGGCGTTGTCGACCTTTTAGGGATTAGGGATTTGGAGATTTAGGGATTTAGGAGGGATTGGGGGAGGGGATGGATTGTTCCTCCGGTAACCTCACTCACACGGCGAAACACAACGCTGTGGTTATTTCACGCCGGTTTTCTGTGAGGCCGTGGTATCACTCCGGTCGAGCAGACCCATTCGTGCCGAAGCATGTCTCTCCCACACTTTGAAAATTGAAATACAAAAATTGGCTTAATGGTTTAGATCTAGGCTAAAGAAGAGCCTTGTTTTGTAATAAGGCCGTATGTGACTGATAAATGTTTACGTGCATATGCTGATCGTCCCAGAAATTATGTTATTAATACTATTCGGTTACCATGGCAACGTCAATATTGAATATTGTTATAAATTGCATAAATATTTCGTGATAATTTTTTTAAACGTTACCGTGTGTAACGTAGTCGTCGTTGTCATTTTTCTATGCATTGAAAAAAAAAGATGATTAATTCTTCTACGACTATCACTGCTGTAAGGAACATAACCTAGTAAGTCATGATTTTAAGAGTAAATAATACATTGTAACTAAGACGTTGAATAGACAGCGGCATTGTACCATAGAGTCTTTGTTTTATAAGGATGTCAATAAAAGACGGATTGGTATCAAAACTTTTTTATTAAATCTTCTTGGTATTTACCAGCGGTGTCTGTCTTCTTCTATTAATAGTTTTACAGCGAGTGACGTGCTTGCAGGATACTTTGCACGCATGACTAGTTGATAGGAATGAGAGGGCAAAAAATAAAGGCTGGTCATCGCACGGAGTCCTAGCGTTTTTATTACTTGCAACACTCCTGTAGTTCAGTTAACTATGTTTTTACATATGTAGATTTGTGCGTAGGTATATAGTAATGTTTTTTTCTGCAATCTGGGTATAGTTTATTAGTTTATTTAATTTGTAAGTAAACCACAGTACTGTTAGCTACGAAGTTTTGGACGCCATCCTAACGTTGTTTCTAAATTAAATTCCATTCTTATTTAGTTCACTAAAATGTAAAAAACCAATTGTTCTAATTTCTTGAATAGCAACTTAGCTGTAAAAACTAAATTAACACACGTACCATTGTATTCGTTAGGTTTTATTTTATTTCTGAATTCGTAAAACAGAGTTGGAAATCTAGTTCTTACAAAAGCGAGAGTGACCTCGTTTCTCGTAAAACTATTCATTTTTGACAATAAATCTTTTGCTTTGTGCTTTCTCACTTAACTTTCGATAATGCTGTTTATAAATAAAAGAAGAATAAGCAACAATTTAAAATATAAGATAGTGTCGTTTGTACTTTTTTCTCCAAGCTATAAATATTAAGTTATAAATATTAAAAAAATGGAAGCATTAAAATAATAAAAATGCGTTTCCTATTACGCAAGATTATTTGCCGCTATTTCTTTATAGGTAAATTAAATAAAAAAATAATACAGACAATTAAATTTTCACAAACATACATATAAAAGTTTGACGCGTAACAGAACGTGTTAAAGGTTTAAAAATAACTTTTCATTCTTGACTTATACTCGTATTCATTCACAGGCAATTAACACAATGCGTAACTAATATTCTATTTTTAGCGCCATTAGCATTCGAATATCCGCCATTTTGTTTTTAATGACAGAAAGGAAAGTTTATATTGTTTATAGTGAAAGGATTACACATCTACGTACGAACTAGGCTTTGCTTCTTTTGATAATATCTAAGTAAGCCGGTGTAAGGGAAAGGGAATTAGCACTGTCCCGTGTAAAGTGGATTAGAGAAAATAGCTGGCTGTGATGTAAAGTCATTACTTAGGTGACATGAGGTCTAAGTAGGTAGGCATGTAAAGGTTTTATGCGTGATTAGTAAGTAAATATTGTCTATGGGTAAGGTGCCGTCTTTATTCTTCCGTGGTAGATATGTATGTAGGATATTTACGTATTATTCTGTAATGAATTCGGAGGAGAGTCATTATATACAGTTGATGTTGTTGGTTTGGTGTCACTTAGGAGTGGATATTAGTCGATTTGTTCTTTATTGCAACGGACTAGACTACGAAAGATGCACGACACATTAATATTGTTCTTTATAACCAAATTGTTTGTAAACGTGCTTTTTACCCGGCAATTGGAAAGTTTACCAAAAAAGCATGGCAGTAAAATTCCATATTTGTGATACCATTATTTGCATGAAAACTGCCATCATAAAAATAATATGGAATATCACGAAGAGGCTTAATATGAACCCATGCGGTACTATACAAAAGTAATAGGGCAACATGATTAAATCAATTACTCACGAACATTGCCCAAAATGTCAACAGTAGGTACCATTGACAATTTGTTTGTAAATGTGCTTTTTATCCGGCAATTGGAAAGTTTAGTAAAGATGGCGGTAAAATTCCACGCTAGCATGGCTATCAGTGAAGGTAAAAGTGCATTACCGGACAACTGCCACTTGCAACATGGTGTCGGACTGATCTCGAATAAGTTGCTGCGAGAAAGTAGGGACGGTATCAATGTACTTCATCTTGATGTGGTACTTACTTGAGAACAAGGACGCCATATGTGTTGATAACAAAGTGTAGATTGATAATGATTAGCATAGATGCGTGTGTATTAAATAATGTATGTATAGGTGAGATTGTAAAAAAAATATAACCCTTGTATTTTTTAAAAAAGAAACAGTTGTGTTTTTTACTCGTTCTTCTCCATTCGAATCTACACTTTGAAATGAGTACTTAACTTCATTGACTCAACAGACTAAATTCTATTTTGACGTTTCAAATTAACCTCTTGCACAAGTAAAGTCAAATCAAAAATCTTTATTCCAATTGAACTATAGATCAATTGGAATAAATATTTTTGATTTGACTTTACTTGCATATTAATCATCTTAAACGTCATCTTTATCTCTCCAAAAAGCGAAAAGAAGTATTTTGTATGTTATTATGCAAGAGTATTAGCGCTAAGTAATGCTATGATATTTACTACCAGCAAAATTTACTAGTAGATAATTGAGAATATAGTTATATTTATAAAATACCAGGAACTTAGTACTTAGATTGCGATAAGCTTAGCATCTTATAATACTGTTTGACATTATAATAAAAGTCAATAGAAAAATATTACTGAATTCTTTTTAATCACGAATTAAAATTATTACTCTTTTGTATTTCTTTTATCATGTGATAGGTCGGCAAACTAGCAGACGGTATTATCTAATGGTAAGCAATCAGAGCCGCCCACAGACCCTGCAACAACGGAGAAGTTACGAGTGCCTTGCTGACCTTTTGGGGATTAAAGATTATGAGATACTGAAAGGGGAAGGATTCCGTGAGAGAGATCCAGTAACCTCACCTACAAGCCGAAACACAAAACTTCTTTTTTTAAATTTTTATTCTTCTAATGTCGTGTTTTAAGCTCATTTTTAATAATGTTGTTGTTTCATTGTTTCAGGACAAGTGAGCTGGTGGCTCTGATTGCGGTGTCATGTACCTTGTTCCTGTTCCTCCACACACGAGACCTGAGCACCAAGTTGCGGCGGATGGAAGGTCGGCTCAATGATGACGTCACAGCTTTCAACCACCTTACAGACAGTCAGTATCATTTTTTTGTATTCGTCTATAGTTTTTATGAAAAGAGGTACAAGAAAAACTGAAAATCGAGCTGAGTGGCGTGCAATTGGAGAGGCCTATGTCCAACAGTGGAAAAATCGGGCTGATGGTGATGATGATGATGCAAAGTTTTGTGATCAAACCTGTTGATTTTATACTGATATATAGTCAATTTAAGTGCCAGTTGGCCGGTTTGTATAAAAGTTATTGTGCTCTACAATGCCCACCAAGTACCCAGGACTTTAGGTGTTCTAACTTTTAAAGTGTTTTAAGTTTAATTCTGCTTGCGACTACGACCTGTGCAACCAGGTCGAAACGTCAAGACTACCAATGTATTTAAATAATTATTTTTGCGTTAATACCAGCGTAATTATATGTTGTACTTCAGGTGTTTACAGAAATTAGCGTTTTATAATGGGCATATTATAATATCAGTATTCATTTTCGTTTATCATTCATTTACTGTTATTTAAATATGTATTAATTTTTTATGAAAAATACAAAACCTAACTAATGGTTTAAACCTAGACGAAAGATAAACCTAGTTTTGTAATTAGGGGGATGAGTTTTTACACTCTTTCTCATCGTGTGTTAAGGCGGGCTTAATGCCTTACAGTCGATCTTTAGGCGTGATAAATAAGTTAAAAGAAGAAAAATATTTTTTGAGAAAATGTTTTTGGGTTGAGCTTTAGTTTTAACCAAAAAACGAACATTAGGCCAATCACCAATAAGTTCTAATACTACACAAGATTATTAAAAGTTCTATTGTCAGAGACGAGCCTGTCTGGTATAAAAAAACCTAACAATCTCCTGCTCCGATATTTTAACTAGTTACACCTATAAAAGAAAATTTAATTTACAATTTCTTCCGGAAAACCTATCCGAGTATAAAAGGCCAGTGCTTAGAGAAACTTTCTCACTATCAATCACATACCCATTTATCTATTCGGAAGCCTCTCGCAAATAGCCGTAAATTATCTAACGTTTAACCATTGATTTTATCACTAAAACACTCATACAGGAACCAAAGTTGGATAACCTTTTATGGGTATAATCTGATGGTGGATGTATTGATAAAATATATAATTGGAGATTATTTAATAGATTTATTAATAACAAATAACCTAAGTTTTTGTTTGCAACGACTAAACTCAGAAACTGCCGAACCGTTTTGAAAAAATCCTCCCATATTTAATTTTGTAAAGAATGTTGGAGGCTACGTTTTATCCCTAACAGACAGAATGGTGAGAAATTATTATATACCTATAAATTCCAAAACAGACAAAACCACGCACCGAAACCTAGTTTATTATATGTACATGTATATTTAGGTAGTGTTTGTAGGAATTCCGTATAATTTTACTCGATAAGCTACAAGTTTCGTGTTATGATGAATGGGAGTTTTGCACGAGTAGGTAAATATGTAAAGTAATATTTTATTCCGTTAATCTTCGGATTAGGAATTAATATAAAAGTCACGTAATCTTACCAATAAATTAAAAAAATATATGTATACGTATATACATATATCTTTTTATAATAAGTGATATGAGCACGAAATATATTATGAATTTAATTAACTTTTGGAAGTAAGATCACGACGATATTTTTAAACAAATCTTTTCAAAATTCAGGTAATAATAGATGTTGATGTTGATTCTCTAATTTAAGATAGTTTTGATATTCGTTTTTTTTTTTATATTTATGTTGAAAATACTTAAAGGTACGTTACAAACACTTTTTATGTTTTTATTTGTGAAGTAAGTAAAAATCAAGTCTTGTTTAAAGTCTTAAAACATTCACAAACTATACATCAACTTCATTACCTACTTATGTATAGTGAGAGTTAAAAGTGCAGTTGTATTTTACCAATGCCAAAGAGTCTAATTTTGTTTATAGTTGACGATCAGAGTTTCCTTGACTGATTAATTTGCAGCATACATTCTTAAGTAATTTAATACAAGTTTTTAGGCTCTTGAATTTGTATTACAAAGAAATTTTGCACATTTTCGCATTGGTAGAGTGCAATTGCACTTTTTACCGTAGACAGTACCCAAGCAGTGTATATTTTAAACACCAGTTCTGTTTAGTTTAAAATTAAAATTCATAGAAAAGCAATTAAAAGTAGTTAAATTGTTTAAGTAACATAAAGTTGTCTGATACTTATAAAAGAAGTAGAATTCAATACTAAGGTACTATAGTTTATCATAAGACATTAACTAGGAAATTACTCAATCATATTAAGATGCTGTCTAGATAAAGACTAATTGAGGCTAGAAAATGTAGCGGTGCTTCTGATAATCTAAGGACTAATTATCATTGATCATTATAACGCAACGTTGATCATTTGCAACCAAACCGAATCGATTCGTGTGAATCCAGCTAATTGACACCTGTGATACACTCTGATCTCAATAATGCATCTTTGAGTCTTTTGAGCAAAAGTTAACACTAATGTAGTTGTGGCCCGGAGGCTAAGGACGCTTCTCATGCATGAGGGTGTGGGTTCGAAACCTGGGAAGTACCAATGTGACTTTTTCCGAGTTATATGTACTTTCTATGAGTATTTAGACACCACTGACATACGGTGAAGTACATAGTGAGGAAACCTGGACTTATAATTTCTTATTGTAAGTTCGAAATCGCCAACCCGCATTGAGCAAGTGTGGTGATTAATGCTAACCTAACCTTCTCTGTATGAGAAGAGGCCTCTTCTCAGCAGCGGCCACTTATGGGCTGAAGATGATGATGATGATGAACAGTAATGATAATTAAAATGTCCCAGTTGAGGCTGCAGTAAAGCCCTCGGAGCAGGAGAAGACGCGGTGTGGTTTTTAATCAGTAAGTCATCCATCACTCTCCTCACCCTACCCGGAGAGGAGAAAACTATAGATAATTTCCCCTAAGAAAAAAATTGAAATATTTGATTTCACTGAACCTTAAAAAACTTGCAGTTTACCTAAGTCCTGCGTATATGTATTACATTTTATATACCGGGAGCAAACGTAATAATGTTATTAGTCAGTAAGAGTCTGACATTTCCTATCGTCCTGAAAATGGCGGGAGAACTTACATGCCCCTCTCAAAAATAAAACATTTCTAATTAACATTCTGTTTATCTCTCAATAAGTATCCATTTCAAATCATCACATTATATTAAGCACGCGCTTTGTTGGTAAGAATTACTCACTTTGACTGTCATTGTACAAAATAAGCCGAAATTATACATACATATATGATACAATTGTACCAATGTACATATATGATAATGGGTTTAACCTTGCAAAAAAGATTAATCAGTCTAATTTACTGTAAAATTACTAGAATCTATATTTAGATCTATTTTTTATACACACACATACATAAAGCCTGATGACAAAATTATATTTAATAATTCACATTGAAACAATTTTAGTGGAAATAATTCCCCCTGAAAAACTTCCGGCACAGTAATTCGTCGTAAAATACAAGCTTCCCTATTTCTTCAATTCACACACTATATATTGTAAATGGCTCCATTGTTTGTACTCGGATAAGTGCAAAAAGTTTACGAAACAATAAATTATTTTATCTTTCCACACTTCGTAGGTAATCGTGTTTTGAAGTGTATAACATGAGATGTTACTTAGATAATGATACCTGACATATAATTAATTTTGTTTGTAATTAAGAGTCGGGTTAGAGACGGGAGGTCGTGACAACCGTGAAATCAGAGGCAGCTGTTTGTAGTGTGTGTGACACCTCTGCCCATTAGTAGTGTAAGTTTATAACAATAAACACTTAATTAAAGACGATCGTCCAAGTAACACGTGTCTTATTTGCGCCTACATTGCATGGCGACCCTGCCAGTGCTGCCACGCGAGCAGCGCTGCGCACGAGTACAAAGTTCGGAATAATTATTTTTTAATATAAAAAAGGACTATTAAAAGTTTATTAAATTAAAAAGTATTAAAAGTGCGGTGGATATAGAAAAAAGAGAAGAGATATTGCTGGCTGCCGGGAGATGTCGCAGTCTGATGTGTGTGCAGCCGGGTGCAAGTGTCCGTTGCAGGACAAGAGAGATGCGAGATCAGGGTAGCGTTTGAGAATGTCTCCGCTACCCTAACGTAAAAATGAAGCAGCTGGACTCAAATATGTGATAGTGTAATTTAGTGAAAGTGGACACCAGATACCTAGATTCTATAACTTTATAGACATTATGTTTATATTTAAATAGGAAAATAGTATAGATTTTTAGAAATATGACTATTATATTTAAGTTTAGAGATACAATAATTAAGGACTATTTTTTTTTCTTCTATGCATAGTTATAAGTTACCGCTTGTTGACAATCGTATCCATTAGGATTTTATTTCATTTTTGTTTTGTAATATATTTTGGCAATATAATGTTAATGTTTTAATAAAATTATAAATTAGTACAAATTGTAAGGAACAAGATCCGATAGAAATGTTCCCATGCCCTAATATAGAAAGTGAAGTCATACCGAGTGTCATGTTGTATTGGAATCATGTTACTGGACACCGATTAACAATAACAACTGCACTTCGCTTTGGCTAAATAAATCAAATGAATAAAATTTGAAACTATGTAGGTTATGGAGAGATTATATTGTTTGTATATCTCTGCCTGTCTATCTTTAACTATAAAACTACAGACCTACTAAGTAAGTAAAAAATAATAGTTTGACAGTATACTTGTTTGTGAGTTTGTTGGCATAGGGTAAACTTTGAAACTACTGGACCGATTTGAAAATTGTTGTCATCATTATAGTCGACTTTTCTGGGGTTACTACTAAATATTTTTAACACCGATATTACTACGGGACCGGGACTTTATCGGACGCCATCTTCTGTTCATCGATACGGGACGCAAAAAAGCTACTTACTATTTTAAAGATGCTGTAAAAAGAAATTATGTTTGTCAAAATTGGTCATCCGTGTGTGATGGGTGACGTTTAGTGTAGCCCATCTAAGAAATTC